AAATTATTCTTATTATTTTTTGTTATTCACGAGGATATTATATAGCATGTTATAAAAAAATATGAATATTGATGATTATTATATATATATTAGTTATTATCATTTTATATATTGTATATAAATATTACAATTAGATTAATTTCAAAACTTACGTCCTTTTTTTCTTTTTTCTTTTTTACAAGATTAGTATTACAATAGTACTGACCGTTATAACAATTAATAAACGAATTGAATAAAATATTTTGTTGCTTGAAAAAGAAACATAGTGTTCCGATATAAAAAAAAAAACAAAACTTATACCATTTATTTCATAGAATATTCATAGAATATTCATAAAATATTCATAGAGTAATATACCGTTGCATAGGATATCGAAGTTTTTAATAACTTGAAAATAAAAAAACAAAATACTCGTTATATACTCGTATATGTGTCATATTATATTGATCAGAACAAATGAAAAAGTATTTTTTCTTCTTACCGAAAGAAAAAATTCGTAAGATGAAAAAAATGTTCCACCCACGCTCAAGTAACATATTTTTTGACTTCTCATTAATATTATTAAACCTGATTTTTGTATCTTCGTTGAAACTAAATACCACGGTGCAATTTTTCTACAAATTATTAATACTTATTTATATATTCTTTATCGGTCAAAAAAATTGTTAACAATGATATTCATTATAAATCGATAATACTCACGCTTTGTAAAACACGTAATTGCTATGATCTATTATTTGTTGACCAGCGTGACAATTAATAAATAAAGAAAACATTATACCTATCACGTGAATGATACAAATCGTAACATCGTCTATATTCTCTCCCAATATGCTTGTTTTTATCTGCATCAACTAAATTACAATAATTTCGTTACAATATTATTACATTAATATGTGCTACGTTTTTTTTTTTTTTTTATTAAATTTATATACCTTTACGTAATCAGATGCAACGAGAATTAATGCTAATGAAATTTGAATGGTGTAACATTCCTCGGATGCATCTTTTACATAATCGAAAAACCTATGTAAAAATAATAATGTTAATTTTTTTAATAAAAAATACAGGATGTAGACAGAATATTCTGTATTATTCAGTTATCTTTTTCTTTTAGAATATCAAGAATGTTATGATCGATCGAGAAAATATTTGACAATTAAATTATGTTTAATTATGTTTATATATCGATACAAATTTTTTTTTCTTATTTTTATGTGTACGAATTGAAATATTTCTCATATTTTTTCTGTGTTACATCCTGTATAATTATTAATATATTACATAAATATCGAGATTGAAAATATTTACTAACTTTAAGGTTCTAATATGAAATCGAATACTACGGATGATATTTTTATAAATTATTTCATTTTCGTTGCTGGTGTAAATGTATCGTTCGTTTTTGACGAAAACGTGTTCCAAAATGAATCTAACAATAAGAAAAAAAATAAAAAGTAAGAAGACGACACATGAGAATAAATATTTTTATTTATGTTTAAAAACACACAAATCATTTTAATTAATTGTTAAAAATAGATATTTATATTATAATGATTTGTTTCAATCATACCCTGTTAAACTTAACATTCCGCAAGTATGCTGAATAAAAAGTAAAAAAGAACCATAAACTGCGACTGCTGTAATACCTAAACACGCTACTATAATAATTATTAATATAATTCCATAAATGGTTTCTTCAATTTTACAAAATGTTTCGACTGGAATTATCACTGTAGGTTTACGAGTTTCGTTTAATGGAACAACAATATCCAACAGACGTGGTAACAAATATGATAAAGCAATCATGAACAAAAAACCACTGAATATTACTGAAAACAAAGTCGTCGTAATATTTTTAATATCAATTAATTAATTAATGATATATAT